GTTACGTGCGTAGTATTTGTGTCGCAGAGACCGCCGTTTTACGTGCGCGTGCGTAGCTGGTCCTGCGCAACCTTTATGGGCCATGAAACGTGAATCACGCGCGACGGTAATGTGTCGTACGAGGGGAGGGGGAGGAAGTAAATAACTATTTTTACTTTTTTATAGCATCCAAGTAGATAAACGCTTACCCGAGGCGCGATGCTCATAATAAAATTAAGCCTTTAATCTCGCCGTCGGCGCGATAACACGTGCGTTTAGATTATTATTCGTCCGTCGGGTACTGCGTTTCGTCGACGCGCTGCTCGCAGTCGATATCGTCCGGGTCGCACGTCAGACACGTGCCGGCGCGCGATCACCAAAAAACGAAAGGGTTAGAGAACGAACGAAAATATCGTTTTTCCGACCGCGGCGATCATGCACCGCGGTCTGTTGCTGTTGCACCACCACGGCAGGCGAGCCCGTGACGTACCGGCCACTGACCCTCGTGCTCGGACGCCACCGTCACCACGTCCAAGTGCCCGCCGGGTTAGTCACCGGGTCCCTGTCAAACCGATTCCAGGGCTGGCCGGGACGCGGAACTCCGTCGCGGCCACTGACGTCGCGTCCTTCCAAATCGACCGAGACTTTCCGTCGTCAAGACGTCCGCACCGGTTTGCCGACCACGTGTCCGAGAGCGGACGTTGACTGCGCGACCGTGAATGTCGTCCGTCGGACCCACGTGAACGGCACTTCGGTCGAATTTCGGCAAAACGGTTCCCGGACACCCGCACATCCAAGTCGTCGATTAAGATTAATTTTTTTTAACAATAATTATCTTAATTTCATTCATTTTTTAACAATAATTATCTCGAAATACGCCATGTGTTTTTAGTATTTTCGAAGGAACTGCGTTTCGACGGGTGTACACGGGCACGAAACTTAATGGTCCGTACTCCGTATTTTATCTCGGATTGCGTCTGCTGAACGTTAACGAAATCTTACCGCTGAAACTACATTCGGAAGTTTGTGCACCTTCGTAATTGTTGCGTGATCGTTATTATCGCGTCGACGATCAGCATTTTTATCATGTCGAAATCTCGTTTTCGATCAATTTGAATATTGTCCTGTTCATACGAGTTTACCGATCATAACCGTTTCATAATAGCACAGAAAGTGATAAGCGATATCGCTATATCGCATGAGAAATGCACAAAAGTACGACTCGACCCTTTAACTCTAATTGTTTGTTATTCGTATTGCTCTATCACCTCAAACCTAAGGTGTGACGGCTATTACGTTATAACGCTACATTTTTAATTCATCTAAACTTGTAATATAAAATTTCCGTTGTGAAATAATTTACTTAATTTTAACTACGAGACTGCATTTTTTTTACGAACAGAAAAATCCCAAAATTCTGCCGACAGAAATTATGATGTTTGGCCGAAATCGTGAAATTATTTAAGTTTATATAATGTGATCGATAAACTTCAATGTATAAATTAAGATTTTTATTTATAAATGTACATAACTGTATGCGAAATATAACGTTATCCATAATTGTTTTTGCGATTTTCGTAGGTACGTAGAAATAGTAGTACGAAATGTTTTCTTAAAGGTCAGAACTGAAATAAAATAATGTACACGTAAACATGTATTTATCTATTAAAATAATTATGTCATCCAGTCCTTTGGAAAATTTTATATTTTATATAATAATTTGTATACATCATTTATTCGTCCATATTAATGTTTAATGTACTAAAAAAGTATAACATAATTTTCAGATGTATACGTCACATGTATAATATATATATATACACATATACATTGTATATATATATAGCATATAGCAACACCTACTATACGCGATTGTAATATTATACACGATTGTGATGGATATTACAGATATACGATTACACACCCATTAATTTTACAATATTTCACCAGTCGAATTATATAACAAATTCGTATTTTCTTGTTGAACTTTTCTTTTATAAAATTTAAATATTTGAAAATGTATAGTTACGAATTATTTATTCAGCGATTCATAAATATTGTCTCCTAAATTTTGATGTACAATTTTTTTGAAGAGCGCTCAACATTTGGAAAATTCTTCTCATTTGTAAATCTTAATTTATTTTTGAATAATACGTGTCCCGTTATATTTTGAAATATCAAAATATCACTTTTATGCAACGGGTAAACATATTTGTTTGTTTCTAATGCTTTAATATATATATAAGTTACAGGCAATATGGTATATCGGACAATGCTCGGAAAATTTGATCCTGTCCGGGCTATTTGAACTTCGAATAGAAATAAATAATTGTTAAACTTATATTATATACTGTAAACTATTTTACTAATAATTTCTTATCATTTTATAACCATAATATAGAACAAAGTATAAAACATCAGTATAATATTTCTTATTCACTATTTATATTGTATTATATCTGTTATTTTTTCATATTACATTGATAAAAGTAATAGCTCTACCGATAAAATCATACAATAATATATGAACAATAATTGGTATTTACGATTAAGCAGTCAAGTTTTCGTGCTTTTCAAGACACTTTATATTTTTTAATTATTTATATTCGAGGTTCAAATTTCCCGGACACGATCAAATAGGCTGAGCAATGTGTACATTGCTCGGTGTTCCATATTGTCCGTAACATATAAGTAGTTCAAATATTAACTAAAAATTGCTAAATTTCTAATTTTCAAAATAGAGACAACAAACAATCGTATTCATGTTTTAAGATTAAATAAAGAATTTATGTTTATGAATTCTTATCCGATAATTATAAATTTAAGGTTTTGGTAAAAATTATGGTAGTTTTTTGTATAGTTATACTTTAAAAATACATAATTATTTGTTCGATAAGAAAAATATTTGTCTTTATAGTACCTACCCACATTTTAGGTCACAATTAATTTCAATATTAGTGATGATATCATACCACACAAGAGATGAATTATTGAAAGTATATTAGTTTGTGACATTTGATTTTGCCTATATGCGATTATTATATTTATTGTAAATGACGGAAACAAATCGCTTAGCACCTATCAATGATTTAAGTACTTTAAAAATAAAAAAAATAAAGATTAATTATTTAAAATGTTTGATTCAGATTGCAAATAAGTGCATTTTAACGATGTTTTTTGTTTATACATAATATATATATATATATATAAGTAAGTAAGCTTTGATGTTAGATATTTGATTTATAATCACTCGTCTCATTTAACTGTTTATCGATTCAATCACTTTTCCCGTCAAATGGGTCGAACATTTACACCGAATATTTAACCACACCGAGTGCGATTATTTATGATTTATGGAGCCAAACAATTTTTACATGGAACTTTTTTTCTTATAATTTCAAAATGTCATCCAGCTCTATCGATTTGAATTTCTTTTTGCTTGGATGCATGCGTATTCTCCATTAAAAAACTATATTTGCGAGTAGTTTATTCAAAAAATAATTTTCGAATCCAAAATTAAGTTTAGTTTCGACGATTTTAAATTTTGTATTCATCTATAGTTAATAAAGTAATAATTTAATTGATTTTTAATGCAATGTTTTTGTTTCCAATTTTGTAAGAGTGGGATGAGTTTTTTAATTTTAATTTTATACATAGTAACTTATCGACTAGAAAATGATGAAAATCTGCTTGTGATAAACCGTATCAAGTGTCCGTGGATTAATATAATAATATTCTAAGAGAATATGTGTGCATTCATGTCTTTAACAGTGTTGCACAAGTCTTACTGTTGTAGCGACGTAACTGCAGTCGGAGTTTTATATGTAGCGCGTTTGGTATCCACTAGCAGTTTTATTGATTACGAAACAAAATTAGTAGTTTAAATTTTAAACGATTTGAACGGTAAAAGTTACTCGTAATTTTGTTTTACTTCTTATTTATTCACTACTAAGCACTAACTTATTTACCATTAATTTTTTAACAAAACCAGAAAAAACTAATATTAAAACTAAGTTTCTTGATTGCACAATATAGTTTTTGCCTAATAACTTTAGGGTACCTATTCCATTACGCACAAAAAAAAAAAAAAAAAAAATGATTGTTTTCACATTTACAGTTTCGGAGTATAACGTTGCATATGCATATGGGATCACAGACAACGTGTTCTATCAATTTGTCATGTGCGCAAAAGAATGATATTAAATTTGAGTAATTCTAATTCGTATTCGGTCGTAAAATGTTTTTATACAGACATCGACGAACGCACCGAGTCGACTGACGACGATAACGGCACCGGGTTTCGGTTTTCACGTTTGAAATCGCAGCTTTTCGAAACGATCGGAACAAGTACGGTTCGGCTCCCGATCACGCGACTCGTGATCGAAATCGTAAACCGTGTGCGACGAACGAATCCGAAAACCGCGTGAAAACCGTTCGTTCAGTCGTGTACCAACGCGAACACGTGTACGCGATGTCGGCGATCCAAAAAAAAAAAAAAAAAAAAATACCGTGTACAAAACGAACGTCGCGCTCGGGTCGGAAGCGGACGAAAAAAAAAAACCGGATCGGATGTAAGTGCCGGGCCGCGAAACGCATTTCACCGGGCGGGAAGCCAAGTCGGACCGTCGGCGCGGTTGCCGTCGAGCAGTGCTCGGGCGAACCGATCGGTTTTCGGACCCGTGCGAGAGTCGGTCTTGACGGGCTTTTCGCGGTACTCCTCGAAACCGGCGATCGTTGCCGGTGACGCGTTGGCGCGCGCAATGACCTTGGGCCGGCGCGCGCGGTCACGACTAATATAATAATTATTTTATTTTTTTTTATCAACGCCGCGGCGGTAATCGATCACGCGCAACGGAAAACCGGTGCCGCGGATCGATTATCGTTATTATTATTATTGTTATTATCGTTTTAACAATCGCCCGAAGGGCGTTCCGCGGCAATGAAAGCGACTCGACGAACGGCCGCGCGGTTCCGAAAAAGCGCGCGCGACCGCGGCGTTGCGCGCCCGCCCGGTGCACGCGTCGTATATAACGGGGGGCGCGCGCCGCGGTCGACGGATCAGACGTTCAGACGTCGACGGCGACGGTAACACGCACACACACACACACACACACACACGCGCGCGCGCGCGCAAACACCGAACGAAGCACGATCGAAGCACGCAACGTTCGCCTGCCGACCGCCGACGCGCGCGTCCCACGTACGTTTTTTCGTGTCCCCGGAACGCGACCGACCGCGCCGCAAGTTTACCCCGTCGTCCCTTCGCCCCGACCGCAGGGTCACCGGAACGCGCGCGCGCCCGGACGCGGCCACGTGCCCGCGATCGCCGCCAACATGTTCGCCGTGCCCGAGCACCACCCGTCGTTGCTCGCCGGCGCCCTGCTGCTGCTGCCGCCGCTGCTGCTGCTGCTGCTGCTGCTCTACCTGTACGCCACGTGGACCCACGGCCACTGGTCCGCCCTGGGCGTGCCGTGCCCGTCGCCGCCGGTGCCGCTGTTCGGCCACGCGATGCCGTCCATGCTCGGCCGCATGCACTTCATGGACGTGCTGCACGACCTGTACCGCGCGCTCGGCGACCGCCGCTTCGGCGGCATCTACACCATGCGGACGCCGCAGCTGCTGGTCAAGGACCCGGAGCTGATCGGTGAGTGCGGTGTGACGATGACCATCACCGCGAACGGCCGTCCGCGTTTACTAGTCTTACCGGTGTTTTTCAGGTGTAGTACACTAGCAGTCGGGTCCGTTTCCCTTCTCCTCGTTTTCATCGAATCAGTACTGTCCGTGTAATCCGTACACTGGAATAAAGGGATGATTGTTTTTTTTTTTTTTTTTTTTTAATTTTCTAATATAATTGTACATGCGTATTGATTGAAAATTAGAACACCGGTATGATTTAAATATTTACACAATTGGTAAACGACTTAACCGTAGAGCTTTTACAATATTTATATCTACCGATTTTTTAACATTATAGAGCAGCGGTCGCCGACCTTTTACACCTCGTGCACCACTAAATACACGCTCTAAATTCTACGGACCACTTTTAGCTTAAATTACCTTTAAACCCGTTAAATAAATCGATGAGGTATTTTTTTTTCGGTCATATTTAACTGGTTATTTTCATTGTTTGCTGCGATGGATCTATTGTCCACATAATACCATGTCTAGGGTCTTATTTTTCTGGGAAATAACAACAAAAAGTTTCGGTAAGTACCTAATGTTCAAATTTTTTTTGCGGACCACTTAAATTTGCTCGCGGACCACCAGTGGTTAGGCGACCGCTGTTTTAGAGCGTATCAATACTTTCGAGTTACAGTTTTTATTATCTGATCGGTCGGACCGAACTAGCATTTTATCCTTTTTAAAATCGGACCAAATTGTTTGTTTAGCTTTATAGTAAGTATTATCTGGAACCCAACTCGGATTCGCCCCCGGTCACGTACGTCTTTCCTTCACCAATCGTTGTCGTCCGGCGTAGGGCGAACGGTTTCGACGATAATGATTTTTTTTTTTCCATCCAGACGTGTACGAACTAGTGATGGAGACACATCCGGATTTTATGGATTATCCGGACTGTTCAATTCAATTTTGCTGTTCAATGATTACATTTTTATTTGATAATCGTTAGAAAACTTGTCCGTGTAAATAAATCTATATAAATTATTGTTGTATCATTCCTAAATTTTATGGCTATACAAATTTAACTCGTCTCCAAAAATGCTTATTCGTTAACCATTCAAAGGTTATGCAGTTGAAATAACTATAGTTCATAGAGGTGTAAAATAAATTCAACAATTTAATACATTGTTACTTTAGTACCTAACTAATTATAAATTATAAACATTTTTGAAGTCATGATAAGTATACTGAAATTCATAAAATATCATAAAATATTAATTTGTTGTTACGATAAAATAATTTTTTCTAATAGAAATAAAAAATGTTTAAAAGTAATATAAATAACAAATTCATAAATTCGAATACTTCCGTATATCCGGATAAAAATTTGATTCAAATCCAGATTTGAATATTCAAATATTCAGATAATTCAGATCTTTGTGTTGTATGCTCATCTCTAGTATGAACTGTCCGGGATGTAAAATCGATAAGATAATATATTTTTTACTAAAATCCGTACCATTGAAAATCAACGACACGATTACCGCGCGTCCAGATCGTCGCCGGGTCCGATGTCCTAGGGAAAACCAAGGATTTTGGAACAACTCTCGTAAAAAAGTAAAAAACGAAATGTGTTTACGTTATTTAATTTTTGATCGCTACATAACGTCATATCATTGGGAGTCCAGAAAGCATCATATATCTTTATCGAAATATTCGTATAGTGCCTAAAATGTCCCACGTTAACCAAAACTGGATTTGTCTGCACTTTTATCTTTTCCGTTTTCCATAATCTTTTTACCGAACTCTTTCAGCCACAACAGGTGGCACAGATCGCGAGATTTTTGAGGTGTTGCGAAGAACAACCGTGCGTTCGAGTGTTCGATTTCAGGAATGTCAGCGTACAATCAGACATTTTCAACTTTTAACGGCACATCGTGCAGATTTCGTTTCAAACACTAATAGAAACGAGTAATTCAATTTTTTTTTCTCGATGAGTTATTTAAAATTTCCATTTTAGAACACAGAGTCTCATAGACGTATAAAAATACTAGATAGCCGACTCCTTATCCCAACGAATTTATATTAAACTATGATAAGCTTCAGTTTTCTGGATTTATTTTTTTACCTAACTTTTACACCTATCGTGAAGAGTTCCAAAACTGCCTCCTTTTTCCCGAATTTTACGTACACGTAACTTTTTAATTTTTAATGATTTTTTACTTATTACATGAGAGACCATTCTCATAAAATCAATCGTATTCTTGTTGTGTGTAAATAAAATTAAGCTTTTTAGTTGAACGTCAATAAATGAATAATTTCAAAAAATCTACATAATTAGTTAATATTAAAAACAACGCATTCGTTCATTATCAGTTTCAGGTAATTGTAAATCACTTAGTTTAAATCAGTGTTTTTCAACCTTTGTGTTATGGTGAAACGATAATAAAATATTTCTTACTTTGCCGCACAGTTTGAATTATAAATAGTTACATCGGGATTCTTAAATATATAAACAATATTTAAACAATATCATTTAATATGCTATATTACGATAAATATCAATATACGTTTGGTATCATTTAATTAAAATACATAACTCATGACACACTATGACTTATCACACGACACGTCAGTGTATTGCGACAAAGTGGTTGAAAAAAATTGAATTGTAAACAAAGTCCAAAATGTTATAGGTTAATTAGTTTTAGATAAAACCATTACGACCATTTTATCGGTTTCAATAACATTCCACTGTCGGCTATCTAGTATTATTATGTGACCGTGGTGCACCACTTAAGAGAATAGTAAACATGTTAAACTCAAACGGACGGCGCACCGTGACTTTTACTTTGAAAACCATAACGGTTTGTTGTATGCGTTTAGTGCATACGACTTAAAATCACGAGTTTAAAACGTTAAAGGTTTAAAGTTTTACAACGATGATAATATGCTACTTGAACTGTTGGTGTGGAATGATAAATAGACATGAAGTGTTGTGTACTTATGATAAAAATACATAAATAAATAAGCGTTAGACTCATAGTTGTGAGTCGATAAGGAATTTTTTTCGATAAGAGAACAGAGGGCAACACCCTTTCTTTTTTTTTATGTTTTAAGTGTTCATTGATCATTGTGAAAATGTAGCTTTGTCGCTGAACCGTAAAAGTTTTTTTTTTTTTTTTTTAGATGATTTTTAGTGATATTTATTTTCCACGAAGTTAGCTCAAGAAATAATTGATTCCTATGAAATTTGTAATTTGATAACCTGACAAAGGAGGTGCATATTTGTGGTACCTAAATTGACTTGAGTTGTTTGACTTACAGAAAGGTCCCTAGACTAGTTTATTTTAAAAATGTAGTAGGATTTACCGAAAGGGTTTTTGAATCAAACTGAAAATGAAATGTATTTTGAACGGAATGTGTCTTTTAATAAAATTTTTTGTAAAATTTTGAAGTGACTTCATTGATACATGGAATCTTTGGAATTACAACTATAATACAAACTAGTTACTCAATCAACTACGGCCCCTTACCTGCAATGTGAATTAGTATTTATAGATTTTGAAAATACCCCGATTGTTAATTACTCAGGCACTTGTTCACTATTGTTTATTATTCTTTTTTTTTATGTTATGTAGCTGACCCGGAAAAAATTAGCTATTGCTATATTTTTCATAGGTATATTTGACCTGGTGAACTTTGTATCACCTATAATTTATCCTTCTTTTATGTATTTAGCTATCCCCGCGGCATATCGTTGTACGGATAAGATTGTTCTGTTTTAATTATTTATTTTAATTTTAGATCTTTTTTTCGAATAACATAGTAATTTCACGAGGTAATAACAATCTACTTTATGTATCATTAGTGAATGTAATATGATATTTTTTGAAATATTTACTTAAATGTTAATATAGTATGAAATACCATTCAAATTTATTTATTTAATTTAATTCAATTTCCAGAGTAAATAACATTTTCTTGTTTTCAAACCAACTGTTAATATAATAAACTGATTTTTCCTGTTTAGCTGTTTTGGATAACCCCACATAAAATTCCAACTCCGTGAGAGAAACAGTCGGAGCGCATATCAATACCAACATATTGAAATATTTGCCATTGAGCCTTATAAATTGTAATAGCAAACGAAACTTTAATGGATAATCGAAGTTTCTTAACATGTAAAGGTAAATCAGTAGAATTCGTAGATATACGGGGTATCAAGGCAATTTCTCCCGCTATAGAGCACTGTCACCGTCACCGTAACGTGTTCGAGACACTGGGATAATCATATTTATCAAATTTATATTTATACTATTGAAGGTTTATTAGGGATCCTTATTTTTTTCTAATAATTTAGCGTTCCAACGGTGAAAGATTTTTTGAAATAGGTCTAGTAGTTTTTAAGATTTTTACGAACAATTAAACGCTGTATCTTTATATAATAGTAAGAGATAAGATTGAACGATATTAATTTGTGTTATACTACTGTTTGTTATCGCAAGGAAGTGGTTGATTCTTATTCGTACACTCTCCTCTTTGGAAATGGACTACTGATGAGAGTATCTATCTAAAAATCGTTAAAATTTAAAGAAAATTAATATAAATAATATGTGATGACAATTAATATTTCATTAAAATATTTGTTTTGATTAATACGTTTAAACAGTAAATTATCGTTTTAAAATTGATAAATTAAATCAAAACAATAATTATTATTTAGTGGTTTTTTTTTTTTTTTTTTTTTGCTATAATAGAGTTTAAAAAATAACTTTTTTCAAAACATAACTTACTAATTATCAACAGAATCAAGTATAGAAAATTAATTACATTTCTGTCGTTTTGGTTTTGCACATCATTCCAACTAAACGCACAATCATTTATGTCAATCAATATTTTATTTAAATGGAATTTTTTTTTTTTTTTTATGTAATGTAATACTAATCGCGTACATATTTATTACGTATAATTTACAGCGGACCGTAAAACTATTAATTGCAAAATGTCATAATAACCTGGCACGCAGGTTAAACCACTGAAGTAATACTGTACCAACTGTTTAACTCGCATCATCAGATTTATTCATAAACGTCTAATGGTACGATTAATTTATTCACATCCATGTACGATATCACTGTTCACCGTGTGGTTCCGTGATTTTTATATTCTATATTTTCTCTATACATGCATAAACCGCAGCCCGCGTTGCGCATAAACACGTTAACATGCTCGGAGATTTATTTAAGTTCTCGTGCAAATAACTTTTTTTCTCCGCTCAACTTAAAACCCCCGGAGAACCGTCTATATAACAACTACGCTTTCCCCCGAGAAGCTGTAATTTATTTACAATAATTAGTCATATTCAAACACTTTTACGAAACAAGTATATAGTATTTATATATAGGTACATATACAATTTGCGCGTAAGACTACGAGTTTTTACTGCACTTATTTATACACACACACACACACACAAATATGCGTATATACACAGTGCATGTCTAAAACCTAGTTGCATAACATGTATTGTTTACAATGAATCTTGTGTAACCTACAAAAAATGAGTGCACGATTACGTGACTATACAGGTGTGTATTCTTGGTCCAAAGTTCATTCGTGAATTTCCTATCGACTCGTTCCGTTTGGTTTCCGCGTTGAACGCGTGCGACTATCGACGTAAGTTCGAACTTCATTTCTTTTGCGAGCCACATGTTCCCCGTGTCCAGCGTAACATGACAGAAATATAATTCAAACACTGATCCCGAAATATATTTACCACACCGTTGAGCTTACATTTTATAATAATCTAATACTGACTTCGTTAAAAACTTTGGCCGTTTCATCATTATTCGGCACGCAATTGACTAAATAATGATTCGGTTACCCGGGAAATTATTTTATTGCCGTAGTTTGCTTTCCCTTTATGTTACGCTCCGACTCACAGTTAAGGATAATCTTCAGAGGTTTAATCTCGACACAGACCCGGCGATGGTCGTTATCATAATAAACGCGGGTAAATATCAAACGAATATTAAATAATGCGGTTGTTCGTCGAATCTAAAAATAAAAATTGCGGGGACCCAAAAGATTGGCCGATCGACAATGTTTTGTCGAATGGACGTTTCAAAAATTACAGTTGACACAAATGTTTGCAGTGATCATGGTTTGAAAATAATTTTGAAATCATCGGCCATGGTTCTGCTCTCTGACAATCTCTGTTTCTCTTTTCTCGATCTTACTGCGTGCGCTGTACTATTGAGCTCTTTTAACAAAACAGGTAGATATCAGAAAGAATATACGATAAATCTGTTACGGTTAGCGTAACGGTCAATAGCGTTGTAGCAATAGTGTAATAGCAAAGGCATGAACCGTAAAACAAGAAAGAAGTATAAGCTCCAGAAGCTTTAGAAGAGTGGTACTATAAGCAAATGCTAATGATAAATCAAATCGACCGGATGATTGGGTGCAGCAACATACAAATAAAAAAGAGAAAAGGACACTAGCAAATATAAAAGGGCGAAAAATGTAGTGGCCGTGTCGTATTCCTATACATATCCCGGGTCCAATACAATTAGTTTTATGTGAAACTATACCAGGGAAAAAACAGAGAAGACGATTGGGCATAAGACATTTAAATAAAAACGAAAATCGAAGACAGAGAATAGCGCAAGAGGCGTATAGTTAAGATAAATAAAATCCCTGTAGATGCTGAAAATACTGGTCAACTTAAGAATATGTAATATGATAACGTTTTATCCGTTTTACAAACGTACAACATAGCAAATCTGTGGTCAGTAAGACTAGTTGTGTAATGTTATTTTAAATAAGAAAGAAAATTAACCCATCATCGAATTTAAAATGTAGAACATTATCTAAATCTTCTTATAGGTTTTTAGTGATATACGAGATTTGTTTTTTCTCGATTTACGATTATGCAAAGTATTTGAGTTTAAAAAGATTTATAGTTAAAAAAAAATTGAAAAGTTAAATTTAATTAAATATTTAAAATTCATTTATCATATAAAATCCACAAGGATGCTTTTAATTACAAGTTTGATGATACGTTAATTTACTTTAATATTAAAGCAAATAACACAAAATTGGTTCTATTGAACGTAAATTTACTATGATTTATGTTTGTAAGATGAAGATATGTAATGTCTTAAACGCCCTTTAAAAACCACTACTTAAGCTCAGCATATTAAAATCGGTAAATTATTTGAAGCGGATTGTATGGTAGAACTACTTTTTTGCATTTTCTAATTATATTTCTCTAAAATCATGCCGTATCCATATAAAATAACTTTTTTATTTCCATTGAATTTATAACCAGTACTGTGAATTATTTTTATTGACAGCGAAATAATCAATTATTCTTAGTGTTTTCTATTTATTTTATATTATCGCAAAGTTCATTTATTTGTTACGGAAATAGATGTTTTATCATTTATTATTTTTTTTGTGCTTGAACCAAGAGTCAAGCCATATCTATTTATCACACTCGTGAAATTTATCACACAACATTTAATTATTATTTAATATTAAATAAATATTTACGAAAAGTGAAAATAATTTATTTTATGATTTCAAATATTTTATTATTTGATTAAATTTGAATAGAAATTGTATAAAAAAACAATTTTCAAGCTGAATAAAAGAAGACAAGAAATAACTTTTTATACACCGCAACACTAAACAAATTTGTAACACCAGTCGATTTTGGTAGTAGGTCAGTTAAGTTAGTTAGTTTTAAGTTAAAAGTGTTAAACAGTTATGTAGACTATATATTTTGGTGTAAAGTGAAATTCACAATATTTACATCGCAGTTATAAAGACGTTAAATATTTCCTAAATAAGTTTATAACATTTTATTAAATAAATCTAGAAGCAATTTCGATTTTATCTAGCTTAAAATAATATTTTTGATATATTATTTTCCGATTGAATCGATTTAATTGGTCGAAAAAGATTGCAAAAAGCAAAAGGCCGTATCTTTGGAAATCTACGATTACGGTAGCCGGTAAGTTAAACAGCTAATGTAGCATGAGTGTTGGAAATTAGAACATTCGATTTGATTCTATTGCAATAGCATTAGGGAGCGTGCGATGGGTTTAAACTGAGAAATTAAACTATAATGCAAGATTTTCGAACAAAATAAATACAAAAGGTCGTAAGACCAGCTTGATATTAATTCTGAAGTTTATTTTTTTTTTTTTTGTATGTTTTTCTTCGAGAAAACTATCAAAGAGTCAACAAACGATTTGTTTAAAATAGTCTTTTTCTTTGTCCAAAGTTTGGTCTAAAGATGTGTTCTGTAAATCTTATAGAGCAGATGTAACGATAAGAGTTTTAACTGAGAAAATTAAAAAAAAAAAATAAAAACAATAATCATTGTAAAACCACGGTTCAACGATTTTCATTTCGCTAACGTTCAAAGTCGGAATAATATACGTTATGAATCAATTACGAAAACGTTTTTCTTTTGTTTCCATTCAGGTCACATACTGATCAAAGACTTTAACAACTTCACCGACCGCGGTCTGTACGCCGGCACGCACACGAATCCGTTGAACAACAACATATTCTTCACGCGCGGCGAACGGTGGAAGACGATGCGCCAGAAGCTCAGCCCCACATTTACCGCGAACAAGCTGAAGTACATGAACGAGCAGGTGAGTGGGGTTGCGGGGAGAAACGATCCGGGACGCGGGCGAGACGGGGTTCACGTGTACGTTTTAAGTCGACGAGAAGTTTAATTTTTAATTTTTTTTTATCGTTCGTCTAATTCGGCAGAGATGGCCAACCCGCGGCCCGCGAAATTTATGATACATTTACAAAAAAAAAAAAAATGATTTTTGTCCCAATAAAATATTCTGGAACGCCCGCAAAACGTGGAGACCGTATTGTTAACAACGTAATCGCAACAAACTATTTGATTCATCGACGAAATTTTCGTTCCCCAAGTATTGTCGATGTTATGTAAGTAGTCATGAAAGCAGGGAATTACATTCGATCACATGCGCTTCCGCACCAACGATTCAAAGAGTTCTTGCAAGAGTTAGATTCAGAATACGGCGATGAAAACCACAATAATAATTCATTCTGATTATTTCAAATAATTAACACACACCAAAACTTATTTTATGATAATTATCAATCCTGTTAAAAATGTTTACTTCAAATTTTTTTGCACTTGGGCAAAACACTAATATAAATTGTATGTGTTGTCTGAGAGGTCGTAATGTATTTCGAAAGTGGCCAGCAAGATCGTTTTTGTTGGCTGCCCCTGGTCTAATTTGATCTAATTTCAGCTGGCGCAACGCATCGGCACGATGTTCACGGGAGACGAGGGTGTGAGGGGGCGGAGATGATTTTTCGTATGTTCCGTTGTTCAACCGACCAGTGCGCTCACAACCGTACCAAACTGTATACCTGATCGTTGCGCGTACAGTATTGTGTTGTACCCACTGACTCACTGTTTTGTAGGAAAATAGGCCCTTCATCAATAAGTGCCATGAAGCAATGGTCAAAAAATTACACTTCTAACATTTTTATTATTTTCAAATATCTATTTGAATTATCAATAAATTTATTATATTAGACCAATTATAAAAGAAAATAACATTTAAGCGGATGTTGGTTTAGATTTAAATTTTTAAAAACATGTTATACTTATGTTGTACCTCACTTGTTATTACATTTGTGCCGATAAAAAATTGTGTATAAATTTACGTAAGTCGATTCACGTGAAATATATGTATATATATAAAAAAAAAAATAATAAAAATTATAAATGTAATTGCTTCTCTAAATGTATCGAGAACGGAGCCTCACACAATTCTAGTACGGTGGGCTCTTATTGGCCTAGTCCATTCCTGTCACTACGTTTGGTCATCACTAAAATTCGTCTTAACTTAGAATTTAAAGTACTGTTGTTTATTTTAACAATTACAACACAATAACAAAAAAATAAAAAATATATATTTTTTTTTCTTTAATTCCATAGTTAGTTTTTGATAACTTTTTATTTATTTTTTACTTCGTTTTCAATATATTTAATAATTAAAATTATAACTGCGTTGACTATATTCATCAACGATTCATCGAAGAACTTAAATTTCTAAAGCAACTTTACACGAAAAACGAAATGATAAAAATTACCCGAACCCATCACCGTGCATCCGATTAATTTCCGATACAGAAGCGGTGGATACCTCGCAAGAGATACTTCTGTTTTTAATCGACTACGTTCGAAAACACCGCAAAATCGTTTTGCCTCCACTGTAGCATTTTCGTCTATTTGATAGAGAATGCTCTTAAAAATATGCTTTATTTCTTCAGATTTTCAAAACAATGATATTTTCTAATGCTCCAGAAAACAATGCAAACAACGCGTCGAAATATTCCTGCACTAGCGATATAACACTTGCTCGCATTTCAGTACCACGTAAACCTCTCGCGCCGCGGTCGGATGAAGCCCAACGTGTTTTTCCATTGTTTTCGGGTTAACGTCGGCATTTCCCTTCCGTTTCCTTATCTCGAATCCCGTTACCCTGCCGTTTGCTATCGGCCGAGTTCACCCGACACCGCTGACCGTTTTTTCGTCCTTTAACGCGCGTGTCCCATCAGGTGAAAGAGTGCACAGACAGTCTGCTGTCGACTATCGGCCGGACGGTGCGCGAGGTGGCCGATCGGATCGAGATCCGCGATATGATGGCCAAGTACTCGACCGACGTGATCGGTAGCTGCGCGTTCGGGCTCAAGCTGGACGCCATCAACGACCCGGACTCGGAGTTCCGGAAACACGGGAAGACCGTGTTTCAGCCATCGCTCCGGTCCAAAATCCGGGTCGCCGTCATATTCATGCAACCGTCACTGCTCGGCATTTTCCGGGTGCACCACTACTCGCATCGCACGATCACGTTCTTCCGGGATGCGTTCCGGCAGACCATCGAGCACCGGCAGAGAACCAACGAGGACCGCAAGGATTTCGTGCATCATCTGATGAAGGCCCGCGAAGACCTGGTGCTTAACCCCGATTTGAAGCCCGAAGGTATGCTTAGCAACGTACGATAGTAGTATTTTCAAACCAGATCCCCGCGAAGTTAAAGTTAAAAGTTCTCTAGCGCTAGGCGAACTGCGGTATTGTCGATATACTTAAAAAAATATATAAAAAAGCATTTAAAAAGTTCTCCGTGCCCGAGAGAGTTGTAGTGATAAAGTTTGCGAAGAGCGCGGTGCGTAGTTTTCTTAAACAAAAAAAAAAATTTTTTTTTTTTAAAACCAATGATATATGTAAAGTGATCTACGGTTACGGCATGGGCTACGTCTTCTCGCTTTATCCCGTTAAAGTCCTGTCAATCGTCCTGCTTGCCCCCAACCTTATCTCGAATGTTAATTACGTACATCACCGTCGCAGATTCTACCGTTACCATTGGATTCAGATTTTCGAATGGTTTTGTTTTTTCTTTTGATTCACTTGGTCATTTGATCAACTTCTTTATTGTCGTTTATGTTTTTTTTTCTAAACGAAAATCTGGTCCTTCATTATAAAGAATAAAATTGAAAACTGTAATGATTGGTCACACAATGTTAATACGTCGCGTGTTAAACATCAATTGAGTTTTGATTACTTTTGAATATAGCGAAATTGCGTACATCCACCATAGCGTAACCTTGAGAGTATAATAATAAAACTGTATAATGTTTGTAATGAACGCGCTAATTAGTTATTAAAAATCACAACGAAACGATTGACCGTACGGTGAATTAGTCATAAAGTCATAATAGTTTGTACGAATTAAAAATTAATGATTCATAGTGGCTTACATAGAAACATTTTGTTTTACCGTTGACATTGAATTTGAACATGCACACGATAAATGTGAATAAATCACAAAACGTCACTGTTCCATAACTATAATTCTCTCAAATTGTACACGATTCACGTGATGAGCAATATGTATTTTATACTCCAACGTCTCGTTTATACCTATTCAATAACACCATAGTAATATTACTATGACCGTATTACATTTTACTATCTGTGCGACTGAGTATAGAAGTATAATTTACATAATCGTAATCGATTAACCGTCAACAATATTACGCTTACGAGTATACCACTTGCAGATATAATTTCGAAAAAATCTTCTATATATATATATATATATATATTTATTTTTTTTTGTAATATATTCGACTGAAAACCAAATCCACTACTAATACTTCACCGAACGCTTCGTGTTGTTTACGTCTAAATACTATTTTTTCCCAATCATGCACCCACACATGATTATGATTGTCACACTAGGCGTTTCAGTTATCATATCGTTTCGTTGTGCTTAATTGATATCGGACTGTTTTGATTTCAGAAAAATTCACTGAAATGGACATCGTAGCAAATGCTTACATTCTTTTTATCGCTGGATTTGAAACCGTATCTACGTCAATGAGCTTTTGTATGTACGAGTTGGCTCTTAGAAAAGATGTTCAGGATAAAGTCCGAAAAGAAATAATGGAAGTCAAAGCTAAACACAATGGCGAAATGAATAGTGAATGTCTAAACGAACTTCCTTACATGGGCATGGTTATTAAAGGTAAGATTTATCATGAACTTTAGACGAAAAGTTGTAAATGTTTATGATGATGTGCTCCGAACAAATGTCTCGGATCCATAATCATCATAAACACATTTTCTCTAATACCGTTATTATTGTTTTGTTATCTATATTATGGAGTACTACGGAGCTAATGGTTTTTAAACATTTTAACAGAACACACTCTTAATAATATACGAATATTCTTTTACTTTTAAAAATGGTTCTGAATAATTCTAGGTTTTTAAAAATATTAAAGGGCTGCAAAAAAAAAAAAATTATTGAAAAATTATATTTTAGGACCTTTTAAATATTTTGTTAATACCTTATAACGCAATAATTGCTTGAAAAAAAAATAAATAAATAAATAAATGAAAAATGAAATCAGACAAAAACAGCACTACATCTAAAATATTATCATTGTACATTTTTTTTTTAACAAAGTATCATGCTCCTACTTCTATTATTTTCGAATAAGCTTCAACCTAAGTCATCTTAGAGTCGAGAATACATCACGTCAATGGAAAGTTAACGGTTTTTACGGTACAAATAACGAGGATGCTCAACCTGATGTTAATAATGTCGTACAGATACTTTTTATCGAATTAGATAAAAATTACGTAACAATATGGGTCTTAATGCCTGTTAGACTGATTAAAGTCTATGCTTATGAGCATATAGTTCGCTGAACCGACAACATAAACCATTATCGGACCATTGTCATTCTGGTCACGAATAAATGAAAGACAGTCGAGCATGTTAGTAGGTGCACCGTGGGAGATATTCATTTTTATCGTTACCACACCGTATTCCACTGCGTAAAATGATTTTCAACGGAAAATATATTTTCAATAGTTTCGCAAAATCGTCGTGAATTCCATTCAACCCGTTCGTTTAACGATCATTGTGGTGAATTGTTTTCACACGCCTGTTCAATTAATTCAATTAAAAGACATCGAAAGAAGTTGTTTGATCGTCCAATTACAAACATTTTTATAGCCAATGAATAATTGCAACCTTCAAAGCACGTATTAAGTTATAAATATCCGCTTTTAATATTTATTATTTATGTGATAAACTTGCAGCGGGTAGATTATAATTAACGTATCCATTACGCTGCATGGGAACAAATATCTAAATTATTATAGCCAGGTAAATAATGAATACCTAATTGATTAAATTATGTAGCAGCGGTAGAGGTGTGTTTCACGTTCGCGATACATGTGCGTACATCAGTAGTGTGTACGTACGGTGAAATCCGTAATTCGGGAAAACAAACCGTGTACATTATCTAAAAATCGATTTCAAAACGGACATGTTATTCCGATATTCGAAATTATCGAACCGTCGCACCGTTTCGATTTCGATAACGTTTCTACGGAAGAGCCGTAGTAAATAGTGGTTGTTGCATGCGAACGATTTAAAATATGGTACCTACAAATATAACGTCGTACCTGTACAATATCATAATGTTTCAATAAACTCGGATGTTATTAGTTCTAGACTCCAATGATAGAGTGCACCGTATATTTCTTAGTACAACACGTAATGTTTAAGTACTTATACATAAATTTTCGTAAAAACTATTACGATTCGAACAATACTTTAGTGTACGAACACATAACGTTTAAAACATAAAGATACTATATTAAAAAAAAAAAAAAAAAAAAAAAAATTAACTAACATTAAAATCAATATCTATTACATCAGGTGTCTGTTCTTTGATGAAAAAATCAATAAAATAAAATAATAATAATTATGGTAGTAAAAAATATTTATACAAATGAATGCTTGGTTTGGAGTATTATTACTATTAAAAATCCATCATCAGATGCAACATACAAAGTCAATAAAAACGCGCAAAACAAACAAATATTTATCGTTAAGTCAGCAACGCCTCTCATTCACGGTTCGAATGTTACAATGGCGTTCACCGTTTATTACTTTTCGGCTTGCATAATGATATTTAATATACGCAGGAACGCATTTATATGTTTCCCACGTGTGGGCCTGTGGAAAATTGCCGTTCTAAATAACTAAAATAATATGCCTCACTAACCGAATTATCATTTGATTACCTACTCCATAAGATATATATTAATTGAGCGAAACAAATTCAAAACACCAAAACATAATTTCTTATGATTCCAACCATTTTTATTAATAATTAACCATGAAATACATTCTTCAGATTTGTGCCACTGTAGGCTCGTGCCTAAAGCGCCTGCATATGAACACTCCACTGTATATACATAAGGTGACTATACGTCCCGTTTTGAACGGGACAGTTCGCTTTTTGAATCTCCATCCTGTTGTCCCCTGGGGAATCTTCGGGACACTAAAATGTCCCGTTTTCAGAAAGCAGTAAAAAATAACGATGGTAAATTTTAATTTGTTGATGAATTATTGTTATCGAAACTAATGAAGCGTAAAAATAACCATCGCGGCGAACGATGTATTATTATGTATAAACACCGACAAATCATCGCTAACGCAAAATTGCCATATCATTTTTTCTCACTTCATTTTTCAGTATTCGTTACAGTAAACGTCAACCCGTTTTCTTTACTTAGACCCTTTATCTTAAATAAAAAAAAAAAAAAAAAGGTTTTTTATAATACAAATTAGTCACTTGTCAGCGAGTGTAATTAATTCACGGAGATTACTTATTTTCTTTTGTCCCGTCTTGACCATAAAAATATATGGTTACCTATATATATATGTACGGTTACAGTTAAAGTGTTGAATTTCGTTATTTTATGAAAAAAAAAAAGGTTTTTTCGTTGAATATGTAGTTATTCTATAAAAAATGTTAGTTTGATTTCTGTTGTAGTGTGGATTACATTTATATTTTATTTACTTTGAGCTGAATCAGTTATAGTTAGATAATGAATTTCTTTCTGCAAAAACACTACTTCGTCAAGTGCATTTAAAAAAAAAAAAAACCCCCACTAATCCCTGCAGATCGCAACGTATCGTTTTACTTACGGAACGAGTAAAACAACGACATTGCACATAGTCCGTATGACTCGACGACGCATCGACGAGGCGAATGTCGGGAATATGTATATCAGATAACTACTAGTTGATGTGTGCATCGGTGGCGTGGCGAACTCAAACATTTTCAGAGCCAAGTATTTTTTGTCGATATCCACTTAACCCCCAAAAAACTGAAAGGCGGTCACCTCTCAATTACCCACATCGCCACGTCACCGGTGTGGATTATACGCATTATCTGCAGGTCTTATGCCATTCCACGCGTTAACCGATCCAACACTTTGACCGTAACACGTGTACGTTGTCCCGTCCGTCGTCGGCATCGTAATCGCAACGAAACGGTGTGCGTTTTCGGTTCCAGAAACGTTGAGAAAATATCCTCCGCTGGTGACGCTGAACCGGGTGGTGACCAAGCCGTACGTGTTACCAGGGACGGCGGTCAAGCTGAAAACCGGCACGAAGATTGTGATCCCGGTGCACGCCATCCACTACGACCCGAAGTACTACGCCGACCCGGAAGCTTTTGAACCGGACCGCTTTTCCGACGAGAACGTGCACAACCTGCACCCGAACACTTACATGCCATTCGGAGACGGCCCGAGGTTTTGCATCGGTACGGATCTTGTCGTAGCGACAATCAATCGATCGTTCGGACAATAATATCGAACGTGTGCGTGTTTTGCTTAACGTTCGGGCGGTGTTTCTGTTTTTTCACGTTTCAGGCAAAAGATTCGCCGAGTTCGAGATGAAAATGGCCCTGTCCGAAGTGCTGATCAACTACGAGGTGACGCCGTGCGAGAAGACCCAGATACCAATAAAATACGTCATCGGCAGTTTCGTCAACATACCCGAAAGCATTTGGTTAAAGTTCAAGAAACTAGACACCTGATCCCGCGCATCTTGCACACGAACGTTTTGTTTGTATCATATTTATACTGTGTAACCACGAGACAAATGTCCGATAAATAAATCATACGTGAACTACTCGCTTTCCGTTTATTTGATCGAGTAAAACGTTTACCGGGTTCGCCGAACCTACAACGTTTCTCCAGATCTAGATCCTATTCAAAAAAATGTATCCCATTCCGTTTTTCGAATCGTTTCTGATTTGTTTGTTTGTTTTTAATGCAAAATATTACATACACGCGTAACGTAATGTAGCGCATCGTGGGTCCCATTGAACAAGCTCGTATGGGAGACTCAAAGATCTGAACTACACATTTTATCGTGATAAACGATTATTAATTCGACGTCGAAGCTATTTAAAATCTATACTAAAGACAGTTAAATAATAATTATAAAAGTATAAAGTATTAATAATGAGAACAATTTAGGTGAACAATCAGCAGCTTGTTGTAGTAGCCATTGTGTTAAGTTTAATTTTAATACATCATAATCCGAATAATATTGTAATTCATATGATAGTTTATTATAAACACGTGGATCAGTATAAAGAAAAAAATATTATTGAATAGTGGTTTCATGTATACTCGTACTAGGGGAAATAATATTATTTAATTTACCTGTGGTGTTGAAACCATGGGGAATAGGTTTGATTTCATTGTTTATTATTTAAAAAGTCTTTTTACGGTTAAAATATTTAATTCCTTGTACAATTCATCGACATGGAAGACTCAGATTTTATTTGAGATTATTCTTAAAATAATTTTTTTATTGTTATATTATTAGTTTGTTAACCTTGTTTTCATTCGCGGCACCCCATGCAACTATATCATAGGTCAGTGTTGAATTTAAAAGTGCCTTGCATATCGTTTTAGTTTGATTTTAATTTCAAAAAGATCGAAGTCATTTAAAGGCGTGAGAGATTTTCCTTATTTTTGTAGTAAATGATAATAAACTATATCCATTTTGGACTATGGGAAATTTCTAATAAAATGTGTATACACGTGTACACGTGTGATAACCTAATGATTTTTTTTTTCGAAAATACTACCCATTGTAGTTCGAATTTTCACAATAGTTCTTGTATAAAAATATTCATAAACAGTGAGAGTGAAATTGATTTAAATATAGTTCAAGCGATGTATAATGTATAAGTATACTAAGTAGTGTTACACAGAATTAATTATACAGTTTTATGTGCCCTTTCAAAAGAAATTCCGAAACTGTTCCAACTTTGAAAAATATAACTCGGCTCATAACACAATTACTAGTATCCTTTATAATTAATTTTACTTTTATGTACCTACAATTGTGTTTCCGTCACTTGTTTTGTGACAAACTTTACAAGTAATTGTATTCCATTAGACTAAACAGATTAACAGCCAATAAACGTGTGTTCAGTTAATCGTCGAATTTTAAGTTGTTCGAAATATACATATTTATATAAAAAAAAAAAAAAAAAAACAATTGAAAGACATTTCGATTCTTCAACCCACGGCGAACTTGGTTCATGAAATTCACACGGAGTCATCGAACGGATGAAAGTTGAACATTTATATTTTTGTTGTATACGATGTCAGCAGCTCAACACGCATGATATCGGTGACCAGGTACAACCGTAACAGTTTCGGTTGAATATCGAAAAGTTACAACGGTAATTGCGGCTACACGGACCGAACGAGATACTTGTTACGCGTCATCCACCACCCCGTCGTTTAAACTGTTACGCGATATCTTACGCGAGAATCGCATCCGACCGTGCTCGCCGTGAACCACGAGAAAATCATTTTAGTCCTTTTAATTAGCACAGAAATATGATAACGTTTTATAAAAGAGTCCGACCTCGTTTGTGCACGGCACGTTTACGGGCATAAACTCGTTCTGATAAAAGAATATTATACTGTTTGATAAAATATACTAATTGCTTTTGCGAATCGGATACCGCGGGAACTATTGTTTTACCATAAGGGTTTTCACTTTTTACCCTCGACGTTGGAATTATCCTACGGGCAATTCGCGGAAAACACGCATTACTGCGCCGCCGGTCAGCTTGGTATTCACTGCCGTATGAGCACATGCCATATGTGCGCAGAATTCCATGCGGAGAATGAGTAGATATAAAATTTTGGCCGATTCTGTTTTTCTTTTGTATTTTTTTTTTTTTTTATTTTTTTTCCACGCCCCGAAGGTTCAATAAGAAAAAAAAGAAAATTGTTCATAAATTTAAGAAAAAAAATATAAAATTCAACCGATACGAAAAATACATAACACTCGTAATCGCTATTTGCGTAAAAAAAAAAAAAAACAACCAACTCACGGGAGCGCATAACTCGAAAATCGCATTACTGCACACCAAACGAACTAGTAAGACCACGGCTTTTATGTTCGAATAATAGACATGTTTCCGACTACAAATGAATGCTTTTACCGGACTTGTTTGCCGCTTACAACCGGTGAGTAGAAAATTCGCGTTCAATCTATTTTGTCAAATTAGTTTTGCTATAAAACATCCCTACCGCCCTTTCATCTGCGTTATTTGGTTTTCTCTTTTTTATTTTACATCCCTTATCCATTCAGCGATTCTCATCGCCACGTTCAATTGATTCCGGTTCACGCGAAACGTTTTCGGTTCATGCTTCGTGGTTTGGATTAAATAATATTGTGCAACGCAAATAACATCCTACCTACGGATCATCAAACATTTTCGTTTGGTTTTGTATTACAGCGTTAGCATGATTTGATAAGATATACAGTTTAATTTTAATTGTATATATCCCTTAAACGATACAGAAGAAAAAAAAAATCGTATTATTTTTACAATGAATATTCACATGGGAATTTACCGAATCCTTCTACTGTAAGCTATTGCAACTACATCCATATGCGTGTTCACGTGCGGTGACGGATCTGCCCGGGCACCCCTCGAAAAGTTGTAAATGGAGCCCTATAATTTAAGTCCAAGATTAAGGGGTCTGTATTTATTTTAACTGATGTTACTCAAATTGAATGTAATATATTCTAGAATATTTGGTAAACAATAAATTATACTTAGTAATAGAAAATATTAAATTAAATGTTCGTGCAAAACTTCGTATGAACAGCTACAGACTGCAAAATAATATAAATCATAAGTAATCGAAGAAAACAGATTCAAGGAAAACCTATTCATCAGCACGAATATACCACATTATTAAAAAATTTAATTTATGATCGTTTAATTATTTGTAAATTATAATTTGGTAAATATATTAACACGTTTTGTTGAGATAGAGTATGAAGGTATTGAAAGCACCCCTTGAAATACAGGTGTGTACGCACTCTACAACGTTCTTATATTTTGGTCTCGAGGAATTAAAATAAAGCGCTGATGCCTGCTTAGGACGGAATTGTAAGGGACCGAGAACATTATCCAACAGACCGATTTCCATTTTTTGTTCGAATTTCGTATCAGATATTTTTTACTGTAATAAAATGAAAATGTCGACAAAAATATGGAATACATCGACACGCACTACTTAAATTATTTATTTTCGGTTATTACGCAACGGTAGTAGTAATGTGAAATTTTTTAGGAATAAAAATAAAAAGTGTAAATTATTTCAAACGTCAACATCCTTAAACATGAATGTGATACGTTATATTACATTGCTACTTTTTATAAATCGTTTTCCATGTAATACTTTCATTGATAATGAGAAAAAAAAAACGCATAACACTTTGTACCCCTTTCTTTTGCTACTAATCCTTGTTCTTCCAGGCATTTGAGATTATCCGAAAAAAATTGCTTCAATAGTTTGACTCCAGTTTCGCTTACGGACAACATAGTTTCATACAGATTCGAGCAAAACTTGTATGCTTCGAGTTCATTAAATCACAAGCACAGCTACAGGTACAATGTAACAATCGATGTTTAACTGAAGAATTTCAACTAATAATATTCGTAACAATATCGTTTTTATCATTTTTATCGATTTCAATTTTGTACATATAATTTCAACAGTTATAACGATTATAACGGGGTTATAAGATTAAAAATCGAAATTGACAAAAATAACCATACTCGTACAGTTAAATAGCATGTTTGGCCGAAAAGAAAAAAAATTAAAATAAATTAGAATATAAATTATATTTTTTTGTCGGGTCAAACGAAAAATGCAGAAATGTTGTTTTATATTATAAATCGCGATGCTTATTTTTAATGTTCAGGCGAAAACACGATAATATATTATTTACAGGTGCACAATATCGGGGAAGGGTAATGAAAACCATTCGAAATTAACCGAAAAAAGAAACTAATCTGGCTCCCCTAAGCCAACCCAACTTGAAACAATAGGTCAGCGCATGATCGAATATCAGACGCAGGAGCGAAGGAGAGGTGTGAAAATATGAACTTTCCAATCAACTTTTCGTTCACGGCGTTAATATGATCGAACTTCGCTCACGTATTTCGATTTCGCCTTGTTACGTTTGTTATTGAATCAACGCAATCAGGGACAAAAGATAGGTGGGGGGGGGGGGGGGGGAAACGACGGCCGGCACGGGCGGAAAAAAAAAAATACGTTGTTTCGTCCGTTGTTTTCATTTTCTCTTTATTGGGTCGTAACATCCGATAGTTTTGGCGAGTCGGAAGTAAAACTGCCAAATTATTGTGTTCTTATATTGCGTGTGCGAGCGCGTTCACACCGGCGGACTTTCAATCACAAGAACGACGTCGTCGCTTTCCACTCCTCCGTCCCTTTCGACGGCTTCGCCGTGCGCGTACACCGTCTCCCGAATCCCCTGCGACCCCCCCCTCCCCTAACCCGGAACAATAAAAACGGGCGCATTACACGGCATAAACGCCGCTCATTACAACGGGGCAAAGCCGTCGGAACGCCGTATCTACCGTATCTACCGTTTATATTGCTGTCCGTCCGATTTCGACCTTTCTTAACGGATAATCCGCGGCGATCCGATATTTCACCGGAGTTAAATTACATCCGAACACCGAGCCTACGCGCGCGAAAACATTGTTCGCGGACCCGTTATTTACCGACGGCTCCGGGATTGCGTTTTTACACTCGAATCCGAAGCACACGCGTTT